AATGGCAAAAGAAACCACAAGAACTTCAGAAATTAGACAGTTTTTAGAATTTAACAACGCCAATACATATACTGGGTCTTACGGGGCACAATGAAAGGAGTCTTCCAAGTGAAATTTATAGCAGTGAAAACCCATATCAGGAAAACAGAATGAGCTCAAATAAATAACTTAATGTTGAACCTCAAGCTTCTAGAAAAAGAGCAGGCCAACTCCACAGCTCATACAAGGGAGTAAATTATAAAGATCAGAGCAAAACTTAATGCAATGGAGACTAAGAAAACAATACAAACAATCAATGAATCATCCCAGAAAGAATAGCTGTTATTAAGAAATCAAACTATAACAAATGTTGGCAGGTCTGCGGGGGAAAAGGAACCCTTCACTTTTGGTGGATGTGCAATCATTGTGGAAATCAGTGTGAAGATTCCTCAAAAAACTAGGACTAGATGTCTCATTTGACCCAGCTATTCCTTTGTTTGTATCTTTCCAAAAGAATTAAAAGCATCCTACCACAGCGATATATGCACACCTATGTTTATAGCAACATAGTTTATAATAGCTAAATTTTGGAAACAGCCCAAATGCCCATCAACCAATGAATGGATAAAAAAGATTTGGTGTTTTAATATAATGGCATACTACTCAGAACAAAAAGGACAAACTTGAGACATTTATAGCTAAATGAATGTTGAAACCATACTCAAGTGAAATAAGATAGCCACAGGTTCAAATATCACATTGTTTCTCTGGTGTGAGACCCAAAATGTAAAATAGAAATTGTGAAACAGGAAAAAAATTGTTCAAAAGGAAACCAGGGAAGGGGGAGCGGGCAAGGAAGGGAAACAAAAAATGAGAAAAGAAAGATAAATGGAAATAAAGCATTGTAAATAAGGAGGAGAAAAGGGGTTGAAGGAAGAAGAGGCGAATAGCATAAAAAAGAAGAATCAAGATATACTATGTGACGCTGGGGATTTAGCTCAGCGGCAAAAGCGCCTGCCTGGCAAGCGCAAGGTCATGAGTTCGGTTCCCGGTATCGGAGAAAAACCAAAAAAAAAAAAGATATACTATGTACAGGTACAAATTTCCTATGACAAATGGGATCGTTATGTACATCTAAACTGTACCAGTAACTGAATAAAAAAAAAATGAAACCAATATAATTCAAATTTTCGCTAAAAATAAACTTCTTTCTCCTTCCTTTAAAAAAAGAAATATTATCAAAGAAAGAACAAAACAAAATACTAGTCTCAGGCTGGGAATGATGGCACACGCCTGTAATCCCAGCACTCAGGAGGCTGACGCAAGAGGATCACTGTGAGTTTGAGGCCCACCTGGACTATAAAATAAGTTCAAGGCCAGCCTGAACTGCATAGTAAAACCCTGTCTCAAAAAGAAAAAAAAAAACTAGTCTCTGTGAAAGCTTCATATAATTATATAAAAATATATTTATAGATATCTAAAACCTTTACTAAAAAGGAATTGAACATCTTCTTTCCAGACAATAATGTGAAAAAGCTTTTCTTATAAAGTGATTTATAAATGTTTCTATAAAATGGTATCAAAGTGTTTAAAGTGTTATTTAAATTAAGTAGAACTATCAGTAAGGAATTTCTATAACGTTTCCTCATATTAGATTAAAACATGAAATTCCTGAAATTTTTAACCCATTAAAGAGTAATTTCATAGTTTAACCTCACACTATATTGATGAAGCACAGATCTTAACTTGCCAAGGCCTATCAACACAAATATCAGAATTATTTTTGATCTTCCTAAAAAAAGAAATGAAAGGAGGAGGGAAGGGTGGGAAGAGAAGAGGATGAAAATAGTAGGATGTGTTGTGTACATGTACCAACTCCCCACAAGGAATATAATCATTATGTACTGTGAACATGCACTAGTAAAAAAATTAGGTAAAATGTTTTACTAAAGAAACCATGGAAGCCAGAAAAAAATTAAATAATCCTTTCTAAATTAACAATAACAAGCCAAGCATGGTGGCACATGCCTGTAATCCCAGCACTCAGGAGACTGAGGCTGGAGAACTACCACAAAGTTGACACCAGCCTGAGTTCCACAGTGAGTTCAAGGAAAGCCTGGACTATACAGAAAGACCTTGTCTCAAAAAACAAAGCAAAAAAAGAAACAATAGTATTTCTAAAGTAATTTCAGTACAAAAATTTGAGAAATCTTGTCTTAGTTAAAATATTTAACCTTCATATTAGAAAATGTATTGAGCTATAACGCTAAAATCTTCAAGATAACAGGTATGCAGACAAGGGTTAACAAAAAGGCCTGAAACTGCTAGTTTGAAAAAGGCTCTTACAAAATAGGCTGGTATCTGTGAGCTTGGCAGGATTTAAAGATGTTTCCCACCAAAGAGTGGCTCATCACAACTAAATTGTTTAAGCAAAGAATATGCCTGCTTTCCATAGAGATTCCTACGTGACTAGCTCACATAGAAAACTTTGGGCACTGAGTCTCTTATGAGGTTCCCTATTAGTCAACATTTCACACACATTGCTATGGCAATGGAAGAACTAAAGGAGATCCTATGCGACTATAGTGGGGGTGAATTCCTACAAGTCTGTGCCTGGTTTCCTGTGGAATTTTGAAAAGTATTACATATAAACTATATTTCTTTATTATCTTCCTATAAATATATCCTTTATTCCAAAAGTTCCCTCTTTCCATTCTCTTCTCGAATAACAGCAAAAGTGATCTTTAGAAAATTCTAATCTAATAACCATGTTATTCCCCATGTACTTTTGCTATTCATCGATTCTACAGTACATACTTTCCCTGAAATAGAGCTTAGCCACTGTAATAGAAGAAACTATATATTAAGTCCTGGGAGTCCTCCTAGAAGAATCATCATACCTGTGAGGGGTCATCTAAAAACTTTTAACACAACAGAAAACCAGATATTGTGAATATCTGTTATTATGGACTCTTAAGGCATTTCACTTTTACATATATAAGCACTCCCCTGAAAGCCAGTATTTGGCTCATTACATGAAAATCATTGAGTAAGTTCGTAGGCCTAATGCCTCGTGATTTTGATTTAGTAGGTCTTAATTTCTACAATGCAGGAATTATATTTCCCAAGAAAGATGGTCCTTTACTTATTATATAGTACTTTTCCAAATGCAATGGTTTTATCATTTGTAACACAGCTGTGTATTTATTACAGATTAATTCATTATCACTAATTTTTAGATATGTTAGAACAAGCAATTCAAAATTAGATTTTCCCTTTATCTCTCTCTCCTATTTTTATTCAGTAGAATTATAATCATAGACTTTTACATTTCACATTGTTATAACCAATTAGAGATATTAGTCTTTATGAGACTGAATTTGGAAAGCAGGATCATATTCAAATTAGTTGTTCTGCCTTCTGATATTCCTCTATAAGTTCGTGGGAACAGTCATTGGAATCATCTATAAAATTGACCCTGTCCTTAGAATTTTATCACTAAAATGTTTTTTAGCTTTTCGAGATGGAAGTAGTACTGGGGATGGAACCCAGAACCTTTGTACTGAGCTATATTCCCAGACCTTTTTAAAAATATTTTGAGACAGGGTCTCCGTAAATCACTAAATTGCCGAGGCTGGGCTTGAAATTGCAATACCAGCAACACTCATGCTTCAGACTCCTAGTCCTGGGATTACAGTATGTGCTTGTTTTTAACTTGCTACATGTTATGCTTTGTGTCTAGAGGTCCCCACAAAGCCTCAAGTGGTAATAGGTTTTTTTCCAGAAGTGGGTGAATCTGGAATGTGTGACTGATTTGTAGTGCAATGCTGGGATTAAGGGTGCTTGGAATGGGGGTGAGTCATTGCTGGATCAGTCCACTGACTGGATTGGCACTGCCCTAATCCAAGTAGACTGGATACAGTATAAGGGACAGAAAGAGGCTTGTCTCACTCTCCCTTGTTGCTTTTGCTACCTTGTGGGCACCATGAATTGTTCTCCTCTGGGATGCCCCTCTGCCATGTTCCACTTTGCTTTGGAGCTAACCAAGTATGGACTGAAACCTCTAAAAACTGTGAACAAAATAAGCTTTTCCCCTTTAACTTTGGGTATTCGGTATTTTGTCTCAGCAAGACGAGAAAAGTAACTTTTTTTATACTATCTCATTTATATTATTAGCAAAGAAATGTTCCTTATCTCTAGCTTGCACAAACATTCGCCCTGCTTTTCTTATAAGATATTTTAGGTAATCTATTAGGGTGGTATGTTGTATATAATGAAAAACAGAGGTTCACTTTTATTTTGTTCCACAGGGACATCTATTTGTATCACTAGCACTAACAAGTTCATTGCTTTCTCATGAATTTGAACTATCTTTGTCTTATTTTAAATTCTAAATCTGATACACTCATGTATTCCTAAACAAATTCCATTATTTTGATTATAATTGGAATTAAATTATTATTAAATCTTTTTTTAAATTATGGTAAACTCAACTAAGGTTCTACACAGACAGTAAAATATCTCTGGCTATTATACCTAATATGAAATAGAACTCATTTTTTAAATTACACTAACTTTTAACCAAGTATCATAATTACAACCAACAAGCAATTCACTCAATTGTTAAACACATTTATGGTTGGTAAGATAAATCTACGGAAAATGCTATCTTATTTATAATAGCTTATTCTAATTATTTATTCATTCATTCATTCATTCATTCATTCCTGAGATGGGCTCTTGCTATTCTGTCCAGGCTGGCCTGGAACTCTTGATCCTCCTGCCTTAGCCTTCTAAGTAGCTGGGATTTCAAGCACACACCACCACATTTGCATAAAAAAGATTGTGGAATGCTTCCTCCAACTTTTAAATCAGAAAGATATGAGTTTTCCAAATGATTAAGAATACAAGTATTAGCAAAGCTATTCTATTTGGAATAAATATAAATAGGTATACTTCTTTTCCAAAATATAATGAAATTCACTTACCTATTCTTAGTAAGAAAATAAAAAAGTTCATACCTGAGCATTTGAATTACTGAGAGTCTCAGTTCCAATAAGCGACAGTTTATTCTGACACTGATTTAAAAGGAAAAGAAAAACAAGTCAGACACTATAACCCATAGATAATTTCTGCCCTCTTCCCTTTTATACCAGTCCAATATAATACTCCTCAAAAACAGCATACAAATATCCGATATATGAGTTTGTTTAAAGCTTCATTTTAGGCAGGAGAAACAGGAAGGCAGCTAAACAGTCCCCAATTGAATATATCAAAAGAGAAACTGGAATAGAAAAAATGAACAAAACCTACTAGCTAGGGTGAATTAAAAGCTACGTAACAGAAAAAATGGGAGGTAAGAGAATCACAAGGAACATAATATAGAAAAATAAAACAAGTAAGAAATTAGTTAAGATCTTAAGAAAATAACCCCTGAGAGATTGCTTTGTGCCAGAAAAAAAAAATCAAAAGCTATTAATAATGATTATGTGTATGAGGTAAAAACAGGAGTATTTTAAATTTTATTGGTACTTTATTCTTGTTATAATATTTTTCTCTAGTAAAATTTTAGTAATTTTTGAACCCCAATCTCTATACCAACAAACAGCACAAGATTATATAATTATGTACTAAACATATTAATAATATAGAGAACTAAGGATTTGTGTTAAAAATGATTCAAAAAAGATTCCACTAATCTGTTTTGCTCTGAAATCTCTCTGGACAGAAAAGGATGCTAAAAATTTCTGTGGCCCACATTATACAGTATACTATTTGGGGTAGAACTGATTTTTACCAAAATACTGTTGTGTATTAAAAGTGGTTCCAGCTCACTAAAACAGAAATGTACACACATTTCAAGCTCTTTGTGTTTATGCTCACAATTATGTATTTGTCCCACTCCTATATACTCTATTTTAGGGAACAAATCCTATAATCACCCAAAAAGGCCTAAACCATGAGCCTGAACTATTCATTATAATCACCTCTTTTTACATTAATGAACTTCTATATTGTTTTTGTCTTACTTCTTTACTGTCTCTTCAATTCATTGTTTTACTTGCCATAACAGTATTTAGGTCTTCATTACTTCTAAACAGGACTACCATTAGAATCTTCTAATGCTCTTTGTACTTATAGTCTCTCTATATTACTTTCCCTTCAAACCCACAAGAGTTAATTTTCCTAATCCGTATATCTGATCAGGTCACTTCCGTGTTTATCATCCTTTAATAGCTTCCCACAGCACATATCCACCAAAATCCTTCGTGGTTTTACCGCAGTCTCATTCACAAGCCTTTTTGCTCCTAATTTACATTACCGACAATATTCTATGTAGAATTCTCTAAACTCTCCAAACTTTATAGAGTTTGACCTTCCAGGTTTATATACCTCCTCTCCTATTTTCTTTTTAGGGGATAGGGCGGGTAGGGAGTGAACCCAGGGTACTCTATCACTGTGCTACATCCCTATAACGTTTTTATTTTTATTTTGAGGCAAGATCGCTCTTTCAGTTCTACTACTTCTGCCACCTAGGTAGCTGGCATTACAGGCATGTACCACCACATCTGGCTAACTCTATTTACACAGGCTAACTTCTTATTTATTATTTAGAAATAATATCAGTGATTACTTTCTTTCTTTTCTACTAGAAAGTTATCTTTGACTTCATCAGTCTAGGTTAAGTGTTCCTCCTAAGTGTAGTTTTTGCATAATACTTCTAATACTACATGATGTGTAATATTGTGTACAGCTATTGCTTGCATAAGATGCTCATCTCCTTGAGGATAGGATGTGGCATAATTTTCTCTTTCTATAGCTTGTCTGGTACAAAGTTTCTTGAATGCATACCTTTAGGTAACATTTTTAGCTCTAAAAAGCACGTAGTTCATTATCTAAAACAAGTTTTTGGCAACTAGCTTAATTATTTAACCTAAGTCTAATTATTATTAAAATTGATTTAAATCTTATATTAATTAACTGATATGTCACTTTTATCTCTTGGTACTTACTTCTTCCATGTCTTTCCACATCTGTTCACACTCTCTAATAAGTTCTTCTTCAGTATCTGTAACAACTTCCATATCTGTAGTACTATCTGGATCTAATTCTTGCTGATTCATGTGCTTTGTGATTTTCTCAGCCTTAAAAGAAAAATGAGGTGCAAAGGAGGGGTTGAAAAGAGGGTAGGGAATGGGGGAAAAAAAAAAGTTTTATCATGTATAAGAACAAATTCTCTATGACGAATGTGATCATTATATAGTGCAGCCTGGCCTTGAAGGCCAGTACACTTATGTAGCCCTCAAACTCACAGAAATCCTCCTGACTCAGCTTCCCAAGTACAGAGAGTACAGGCATATGCCACCATACCCACATAAATACATTTTTTAAAAATGCATTCTTAACTTCACATATAATTTCTAAAAATACACATTTTCCCATTTGCTGAACTTATTTAAACAAGTCAACTTAGAAAGCCATACAATTAAAACTTCTGACATATAAACATACTGCCATGTTCCTGAAACAGATGTTAATACCTGATAAAAGTTAGTAACTGCTTGTTAGGAAAGTTATCCATAAATAAGGCCAATCTTCAGCAAAACTAAAACTCGATTTCTTTGCCTTTCCTAGTCTGACAATTTAATGCTATCAAACCACAATCAAATATAACAAAGATAACATTGGATGGCTAGACCAGTACTAAAAAATGCATAATGAACAAGCACTATTTTTCATTTAGACTAACAACAATGTAAAATCAGAAACAATACTGGCAAGCATGTAGAACAAATTTCTGCACAGTTGGTAGACCAAATACTTATAAAATAATAAGTAATACCATCAAAATTTTGCAATTATTTTTTGACTCAAAAATTATACTCCTAGGCTGGGGATATAGCTCAGCCATACAAGCGCTTGCCTAGCTAACAAAAGGTCCTGAGTTTGATTCCCAGTAAAAAACAAACAAACAAACAAATTATACTCCTATGAATAATCCTACAGATAAATGTCTGTGTGAGCACTGTCTTAGTTACTTTTCTCATTGCTAAAATAAACTACCCAAAACCCAAAATTAAAGGAGGAAAGTTTAATTTTGGCTCATAGTTTGTAGAGGCTTCAGTCCATAGTTAGCTGGCTCCAAGGCAGGGTGGCATGGCATAGGGGCATCACAGAGAAACAGCTCATGATGCAGCAGGCAGAAGGTAGCAGAGCAGCAGGTCTCCCTTTCCCTGTTATCCCATCCAGGCTATTAACCTTTTGGGTGGTGCCACCCATACTCAGGTTGGACTTTCCATTATCCACTCCCAGAACTAAGCTAAGCCAATTCAGACATCACACACCCGTAATCCCAGTACCACATACTCATGATCCAGTTACCTCCCAAAAGTTTCACCTATGAGAACATGAGGCTTTGGAGGGACATGTAGATACAAGCCATAACAAGCACATAATAGAACACCTACCACAGCATTATCTATTAAAAAAACAAAACAAAACACCTTTAAAGGTAGGAACTCTACAGCCTGTCTAGGCTTAAATCCCAGCTTTGACATTTACAAGTTGTAGAACCTTGGGCAAGTCACTTAAACTTTCTGTGCTTCAGTTTCCTTATGTGTAAAATGAACGTAACATTACATATCCATAAGGTGATTAAGACAATCAAATGAGTTTATATAAATCTCAGATCTATACCTAGCATATGAAGAGCTATATCATTAACAATCTGAATGTCAGTTAGGTCATTTAAATAACATGTAAAAATACTTAAGCTAGATATCTTATCTGCTACATTTTCTATTTTTAGTAACAACTCAGAAATTAAGTGCAAATTGATCTTTCCCTACTTTGTAGAACACTGATCACTAAAATACATTATCAGTACACAAAAGTAATGTAAAATTCTGTATGTGTGTATAGATATTCAAATTAGAGGACATCAAATTCAATGTAGCATTAGAATACACATAAATACAAACATTTACTTATGGGTTTGCTATTTCCACATTGAAAAAATACAAGTCATTTGTCTGCAACTTGGAAGACACCCCTCATCAAAACCATGAAATGCCAGCATGCTAGTCTCACATCCAGCCTTCAGAACTATGATATATTTCTGTTGTATATTTTAAAACACACTCACACAAATACAACTTTATCCTTTCCTCACATTTTTTTTATCCTTTTTCCACATTTTGTGTCCCTAACTCTATCTTTCTAGAAAGGGAACAAGTCAGTTTTTGAAGGTCCCCAGTTAGGATTACAATATCTAGTCATTTACTGAAGAATACCACTATATTTAGGGATAATACTATGCTATACCAACTTAAAGAAACTCAAACTATTAATTGCGAGAAAACCAATAAATGTAAAATAAATATATAAAGTATTCGATTGGAATTCTGAGATGTATTCATTTACTAAAATGTTCTTAATATGTATCACTGGTCAGATATCGTTATAAATGTGTAGGTGAAAAATTCTCTTTTCATGCAGCTTACAATCTCATGAAGGGCCGACAATAATAAGAAATTAACAATTAAATACATGATATGACCTCAGGTAGTTGTAAGTGCTGTAAAGTGGTAAATTATACAACACAGAATGTACATGCTTTCAGAATTGAAGATGGTGAGTGTTTGAAAAACGTACCTGGAAGAATAAATTAGTATATAATAACGGTTTAAAAACGTAACCAGCTCTCTGACATTATTATTTACCATCCTTATCCTCGTTATTGCCATGGACTCAAAAGCCAGGTGCTGTGGAGGTGCTTTCATAAAAACATAAGATGGGAGGCAAGAATGGGCAATTCAAATTTGTGAGACATAAAAGGAAGTAGTCTATTTGCTAGGTAGGATGGATCAAAGAATAGGAGCTTTTGCCATTTCAAAAAACAGCAACAAAAAACCTTCTTAAAGGGCCTACTATGGGTATCTACTTGGTATCTACTTCAAAGCAAAAGTAATTTATTGGTTTGAAGCAGGCAACAATGAGGCTTTTGAAAGCACTGTTAACACTGCTTTAATATTTTTAAGTGGAGGTCTGACTTAATGGATTTTTAAAAAGTTAAGATGGTAAATTTCACGCAATTTTTATGTTACGGTAAAGAGCGATGGCTTCGATGCGGGGGACGGGGGCAGACAGACACTGAGGTCCCTCAGGCTACCAAACGACAGCCTAGCCCAGGGTGGAGAAGGGCGACTGCTCCGGCCTGGGGCCACCGCGGGTCACTGCGGGTGGCTCTTCTCGCCCGAACCCCGGCCCCGCCCCAGCCCCCGGGCGCCGCAACAGTAACAAGTACTCGCCATCTTTCTCGGCCGCTAAGAAAATAAAGGTAAAGAAGAAGACAAGTTTGGAGCATGGCGGGAGGGTTGCAAGTTAAAGAATGTCTTCCGACTCCCCACTCACCCCACCCCACCCCACCCCACCCCGTCTTTCTTGGGAAACCTGCGGAGTTCTGGAACTGAGGTCGCGCTGCAGGCAGAGACAACTGGACAGAAGGCCCCGCTGGACCTCAAGAACCTAGTTCCTCAGAGACAGAGACCCCATCTTTGGGCTAGCGCTCCAAATTCTGTAAACCCCCAACCCCAGAGGCAAATTTAAATCATTTTGGCCTCTCCCCTACCCATCTCTAACCTACCCTCACACAGGAGCAACTTCCACAGCCCTCAGGCAGCCTCAGCGTTGCGTACTTCAGGCCGGCCTGAGGATCTGTGCGCGCGCTGTTTGCTGATTGGATCTGCTCCTGTCCGTCCCAGCCAATCGCGAAACACGCTCATACGCTGAGTGTACGCTGCGCCGCTGCTTTGGCATTGGTAGCTGAACTGTGCGTCGCATCTTTTCTGACGATTCAGACAACATGGCGGCAGAGAGTGGTAGCGATTCTCGCCTAAGAGGAAGGCGCCGGCGGGACACAGAGGAACCCGAAAAGACGGAATTTAGCGCGAGAGAGCTGACAGTGGCAGTGGCGCAAGAAAACGATGAGGAGAATGAAGAACGCTGGGTTGGGCCTTTACCTGTGGAAGCAACACTGGCAAAGAAGAGAAGAGGTAGCTGCAGAGATACAACAATAGCAAATTGGCATGCTGCGCCTGCTAAGTGGGAGGTTTGAGTTCCTGCAAGACCCGAAGAGGGGTGGTGTGTGATTATGGGGTATTGTGCTCAGAACAGATTGTCATCTCATTTGTGGCAGCTTGGTATTTGAACGTTCACCTACAATGGGGATGTGGGTTTGAGTGTCTTTTTGCTAGCATATAACCATGTTGGTCGCTGACGTGTTGATGCTAAAGCTAACATGTTTGGTGCCTCTCATTTAATCCCCTGGCAGCCACGTGAGGTTGAAATTTCTAATTCCGTTTAGGAAATGTGGGGAAGGCTACTGGTTCTTTCGTCTTTAGTTTGGAAGTGTTGTTACTGGGGTACGGGAGAAAGGAAGTGCCTAGTTAGAATTATAAAGCAAAGGAATTTCAGCCCTGAGTGTTCTATGAATTTTCAGACCGAGGGAAAGTTATTTAAGCTTCCTAGGTCATATTTTTTTTTTCCCATTCAAAACCTGAGGTCTGTGGTTGTCAAACCATATCCATAAAATACCAGGGACTGAAACATTTTGCCACTAATGTGAAACTATAAATTTTTATCAAATAAAAAGAATGGGGAAAAGGATAGATGAAATTGTCTTTTGAGCTTTTTCTATGAAATAATTTACTTAAACGTGTAAAACAAAATGTATTTCTAAGGTCATGTCTTAATCACTCTTCCCTATTTAAACCACTAAGTGATTTTATTTTTAAAACCGAGTCTTAACTCTCTAACATGGCGTGTAAGTTCTTTCTGATAGGATCAATCTTTACCTATCCGGTATATCTGCCATGTCATATAAGACCTTTGTGATGTGACTGTCTTTACCTATCCAGTACATCTCCAGATATATCCAGGATATCTCCAATATGTCTATACCTATTTTGCACTTCAGCCATACTAAACGACTTGAGAATGGGACATGTACTTTGTTTGGATGCTGGCCTCAGATACCATAGTGTCTATGATACACGTAGAATAATTTCTCTCCCATCTTTGAATTAAGTTGTTTAACGTGCAGCATTTAGCTGTCACCTCTGGGTTTCAAGGGTCATTGATCATAATTCTGAAATAATGTTTTTCATATTAAGTTTACAAGAAGCCTTCATATTTTATGTATTTAAATTTTGAAAAAACCACTTTTTTGAACATTGTAGATTGAATTCCTTAAAATACATTATTATTTTCTTTTTCTCTTTTACAGGCTGATCCTCTTTTTAATTGTTTCCATAGCAACCTTTTCCTTCATGACCCTTGCTACAATTTGCAATGGAATATTTTCTCTTGTGGCTCTCTGCTTGTTTCTTTCCATGGCTAAGACTAAACATTAGGGACGATTGTGCCTGTTTTTGCTCCAGTGCTTGGTGCCATGCTTTGCATGAAGCAGGTGCTCCATAAATATATTAACGAATATTAGTGAATGAATATTATAACATGTTTTAAATTATTTTATTGTATTTGAATATTACACATTCTCTTTTAATGAAAGAAATGGGGGTAAATGAAAAAATCCAAAAACTATTAAAATGCTGATAATAATTTTAGGAAATAAGTATCTTATAAACAATATAATTGAGACAGAGAAGAAAATTATCAGATATAAAAATCTTTACCCTTTATCAGTGCTTATTTTTTAAGCCAGGCAATAGTGTATTCAGTTTGAAGAAAAAACTGAAATTAAAAGACATGTAAGAAATGTTTTTTAAAAAAAAATCATTGAAAATTTTCTCTAAAAGGACAGTGTTTAATAATGTTAGCTTTCTATAAATGGAGCCAACTCCTTTAATATATTCTTTGGAAGTTAGACTTTTGTATTTACATTTTCACATGAAGAAAATACAAGTATACTTTTATGTATAAAAGCCTCACTGTAAATAGTGCAGGATTAGTATGGAGGCATCAAAGTTTCCTAAGCTCTTTCTAGCTCTCTACTCATGGGGCATGGTCCTCATCTTCATTGTCCTGATTTAATTAAAATAATAGCAGTCCTGTTCCAGTTCCAAGAAGGAAAAAGGGGTACAGTTTTAAAGAAAGCTTTCTATCATAAAACACACTTTACCCACATTGTATTATTAATATATTTGTCACTGAAGGTTAAGATGAGAAAGGAATCTTTAACTGGATGTAAATAAGCCCACATAAAATTGGAGAATCTATTACTAATAAGGTAAAAGTAGTTTGCTAAATATACCAAGTTTGAGTGTGGTACCCAGCAGTCATGAAAAACTCACAATAACTCATATATATATATGCATGTTTGGCCATTATTGGATTATTTGCTACATATATGAGCTCATATAATAAATGAAGATTTCCTGAAATTATTATTTAGAGCTCTAATAGGTGTTTTATGCCTGGAAAAAAAAATCTAAGAAGCATTCAAATAAATATTTTCTAGGATTTTCTCAGCTCGAAAAATCTAAGCATGTTTTTGTCTTTATGTGATTCAACTCAGCATCAGTGACCTAAAAGAAGATCAGTGCCTTTGAAAATGAACTGAGACATGTTGGCCACAGGTTTCTTTTTAAATTAGTGCTAGTGACTGGGATTTACATAGTTAGGAAAGTGGTTGTTAAATTTTTATGAAGCTTTTTACAGCATTTCTTTTTTTAAAATGGAACCTTCATTTTAAGCCAGAACCATTCAGTTGATTGGCACACTTGGGACAGTTAAGCATCTGTATAATCCCTGGGAACATGTAATAACTGACTAAATAACGGTGCTATTCAGTATTGTGAAATAAAGTTAAAGCTAACATAATAGACACTAAATTTAAGTACAATTAGAAAATTCTAAAGAAAATACAAAATAATATTCACTTCATTAATTTATTAAAAATATTTTTTACTTTCCCCCCACAGTTCTAGAGTTTGAAAGAGTGTATCTTGATAATCTCCCTAGTGCATCCATGTATGAGCGCAGTTACATGCATAGAGATGTTATCACCCATGTGGTATGTACCAAGTAAGTCTTATCAGAGCTTTTTTCCCTCAGGAATTGTTTTGTAAAGCTTCAATGTTGAGATGGATTTATAGAAGTAATTTTAGCTATATAGAAATATATTTTTATTTTAATTCCATAAAGTTCTTTCCTATGTCATTTAAGGAATGTGTTCACTAAGACAGAAACCCAGAGTATGTGTACTTATTTTTTCTTAGAAAGTGTAGAGGGATGAAACAAGTAGTGTCTGAGCTTCCCCAATGAGAGAACGTATTACTAAAGACAGGAATAATTAATAGCTGGAGTCTTTGGTGCTAAGATATTAGGAAGAAAGACATGCTAGAACTATCCAAGGACCTTCAAAATGGGTGAGTGGGGAATTTCCAGTAGTGATATTCTACTGTGGATCTATCCTCAATAAGTCCACGTCATGTGCTAAGGCTTTTGCATAACTTTTCTCAAAGAACAGCTTTATGGGGCAGTATATGATCTTCATTTTTATTGATGAGTAAACATATTTGGAAACGTAATGGCAGAGGAGGCTGAAAAAAATTAAGGGCTAAATCTCAGAGGAATCTTCATACAAGGAATTTTATGGATCGTGAACCTGTGAACAGGACTTTTTTTTAAAGAACCACTCTGGCTGTGCTGAGGTGAATGAATTCAAAGAGGACAAGAATAAATACAGGGAAAATAAATAGCAAGGAGGCTAATGTAGACATCTGGAGGAGATGTGATGGTGGCTTGGATATCAGCAGTGAATACATAGAAACTTTAAGGGTTTTTTGTATCACTCTTAATAGCTATGGATTGCTTTGTTTTGGGACCAGTCTATTAATCTCTTAAAACAAGTTGTACTTTAGATATGAATGTACATATGTTCATATTTCATGTATAGGACAGTTCATACTAAATATAAGCACTTACGTTAGTACAAACGTCAGTGTATGAAGCATCTAATGGGTACTAGCACTGTTATTACTCTTTTAGGTCTGTTTTATTTTTAAACTCAAGGCTGTGGAGCATAACAAAAACATGATAGGTTTTATGCTAAGATAGATGTGAAAGCCACTGACTAGCTATGAACCTAGGACAAGCAAATTTTAATATTTTAAAATTATTTTAGGATTTGTAAAATACTGATAAAATATCCATCTAATATAGTTGTTATAAAGATTAATTGAGGTTATATGTATGAAGTACTTGGCATATACTTGGTATCAATAAATAGTTTCTATTTTTCTTATAGAAAAAACTGTTCTGAATCTTTCTGAATCCAAAATGCTTGGATGGACTAGAAAACAAATTTATGTTGAATTTTGCTGTATGTGAAAGTAGTTTATCAGCTTCTGAAAAATAGTACATTTTCTCATGGAAAGACTACCTACAGGATAATTTTAGCAATAAGAAATCCAAAAGTCTAGTGATTACTAGAGAGATTTATTTATCTTATTATTTGTGTATGTGTGTAGTGGTGAGGATTGGTCCCAGGGCTTTCACACTGAGCTACATCCCTAGTCCTTTTTATTCCTTTTAAAACAAGGGTCTCACTAAGTTGCCTAGGCAGGGCTTCATCTTGCAGTCCTCCTGCCTTAGACTCCCCGAGTGCTGGGATTACGTGCATATACCACCATACCTAGCTTTATTTTTAATGTCAAATTCTAATTCTGTTCTGATCTACTTCTGGGATTAAAATTAGT